GTGCGCACACTCTCCTGGGCTCCACTCTTGGAGTTTAATTCAGTCGGTCTGGGTGGGACGGGACCTGGGAATTGGCATTCCAGTAAGTCCCAGGTGGTGCAGCTGCTGCTGGCTGGGGACAACTCAGAACCTCCTGCAGGGCCACTGTCTGCAATGGCTCCATTTCAGTGTGGGAGCATCACTGGGTGGTTCTCAGAAGCAGAGTGCAGAGCTTCCTGTCACACTGCTGGCTGCCAAGCCCGTGCCTGACGCTCCCTAAGGACCACATCTCCCCTCCTCAGTTCCCGCCATGAGACCAGCGCGGCCTGGCATGCAGCTCTCAAATTAAGATGTGCGCTGGCCTTTTCCTTTAAAAACTATACCCCGTGCTAGAGGGGCTGGCGCACCTGTGACCCCAGCTATTCTGGATTCTGAGGAAGGCGGGTAGAAGGTTTGGGGCCAGCTGGACGACTCAGCAGGACCTTGTCTCAAAAAGCAAGAAGGGCTAGGAATGGAGCACATTGGTAGAGCACCCTGGCTTCAATCCCAGTACTGAAAAATATATATGTATAATTTCTTAAGAACAAAGATGTTCTCTTAACATGAGCACAGTACAGTTTCAGAATCAAGAAAGACACGCTAACATTTCCCCTTACCTGCCCACGCACTGCCAGGTAGACTGGGAGGTCGGCCTGTGTCAGCCCTGGTGTGTGTCTGGCCAGGCTCCTACACTGCAGTGGACAGTGTCTTTGGTCTCAGCAAAGTTCCTTATSCTCCCCTTCCCTTCTTGACCTTCTGGGTTTTCGAGAGGTACGGCCAGCCATCTTGCAGAGTACCCCTCCCCAGGCCTTGCTGAGTCTCCGCCCACTCCTACTCAGGCCATGCTTTCTGGCCAGGAGCAGCAATGGCTATGTTGCACCCTGTCCTGCCCTGCCCATCCGACCAGAGGGGGAGATGTTGGCTGCATGCTTGGTTAGGGGTGCGACTTCTCTGCAGTGCTGTCTTCTCCTTGGTGAGGAGCAAGTGCTTGCAGCACACTGAGGCCCTGGGTCAACTGGCATCGGTGACTTTTCACCCACGTCAGTCCTTCTCTTARTTTCTACTACTGAGCTTTGGCCCCTCTGAAATTCTTATTCACATCTCCCAGCTCATTAATCTCTGCATACAGCAGAATTGACTTGATGTTGTGGAAAATAAAATTTGTGCCACTGGTCACACTGATGAAGAAGCTGGAGGCCAGGCGTGGCGGTCATGCCTGKGATCCCAGCCACCCAGGAGGCTGAGGTAGGAGGATCACAAGTTCAAGGCCAGCCTAGGCAAGTAAGTGAGACCCTGTCTGGCAATAAAAACAAAAAGGGGTGAGGGTGTGGCTCAGTGGCAAGCACCCCCCCCAGCCCCCCATGGAGAGAAGAGAACATCCTCTTCACTGGTAGTGGAAGACTGGCTGTGAGGGGACATTCGTCTTCATCAGTCCACTGGCCTATGTCCCCCAAGCAGGCTACTGTTGAGCCCGTGGCTTCCTTGTGAGGCTTACCTCCTTTGACACACCCTTTTACCTCTGATCTCTGGAGCTGGGTTAAGAGAAAAGCACAGGCCCTTCAGGTGGCTTTGTGGAGGACTCCCAGTAGGCTGCTGAAGGGGGGCAGGCAGCAGGTCAGGGTGGCCCGGAGCCCTGCGCAGTCACCTTTCCTTTGGCTTCAGAGTAAGTCCTGAGGGGTGGGAAAGGGGCCACATCCCTGGGAGCCAGGGATTTAAAGAGCTTTGGCTTGGATAGTTCTAAATACAGATGAACTGGACCACAGATGCCTGGACCAGAAGTAGTTGTCCCTCATGACTTCAGGAATAAACTGGGTCCCAGATGGCGTTGAGGCGCTCGCTCTCTCTGGGCACAAAGATCTGGACTGGGCCACTCGCTCACTAGAAGAGTGTGTACTCCTACCCCTCGGCCCGAGTTCACGCTGTGGATGTCCTGCCCCTGGGGGCAGCTGAGCAGGCACAGGGCAGGACCTTCACTGTGATAGCAGCCTGATAGACCCGCCCTGGCTGGCCTCTAGAGGAGTCCTGACTTATCTGCCTGCCGCCTCTCCTAGCTCACTCTCCGGACCCTGGCGACACCTAGTGGGGAGCTGTGGTAACTCAGCCTATGGGTGAGCCCACCTGGGCCTCAGGCTTGCTAAGAGTGGGCCAGGGCTAGTGCTGTTTGCCACAGCTGCCAAGACCCAGCTCAACCGCACGTGATGCTGCAAAGTGCTCAGGATGAGCTGGATAAGTGTCAAGCACCATGGGTGGGCGGTCTCAACAGCAGAAGGTACCAAAATGATGAGCAGATTAAATGGTGATTGTGTTTTCTAAATGTACTTTCTGATGTAGTTTGTAGTTCTTAGAAAATTTGTGCTATTCAATACTTTGAATTTTTTATATTCTTTTTTACTCTTTTAATTTTTCCCTTTTCTTATATACTATCATATATATATATTTTAGTTGTAGATGGACACCATACCTTTATTTTATTTATTTTTATGTGCCTCACACATGCTAGGGAAGTAMGCCACTATCAGCTACAACTCCAGCCCCTTTCGATATATTTTTATTTGTGTATTACAATTGTACATGATGGTGGGATTTGTTGTTACATACACATAATATAACAATACAGTTTGGCCAACATTATCAAAGTATATGTTTTTAGGTAATAAAGTAAAATAGGAAAATATAGACATGAAAATAAGAATCACTCATGGACTGGGGTTGTGGCTCAGTGGTAGAGCACTTGCCTAGCATGGGTGAGGTACTGGGYCTAATCCTCAAYACTAATAAAAAAATAAAGGTAAATTCTTTTAAAAAATAAAAACCACTCAGTTCTATCTCCAACATAACTATTGTTCACATTTTGATGTGTTACTATTTAATTTTTTTGTTGTTGTTATTGTTTGTTTTTTGTTCTTTTGTTTTTGTACTGGGGATTGAACCCAGAGGTGCTTTATCACTCATATCCCCAGCCTTATTTTTTTTTTCTTTGAGACAGGGTCTCACTAAGTGGCTGAGAGTCTGGCTTCGAACTTGCGATCCTCCTACATCAGGCTCCTGAGTCAATGGATTTRCAAGGGTGCACCTCACACCCACTAATCTTTTTTTAAAGTGATAATTTATGTATTTTTTTAACTGTCACCTGTAATGCCAGCAACTCATGAGGCCRAGACATGAGGATCTCAAGTTTGAGGTCAGCCTCTACAACTTAGCAAGTCTCTATATCAAAATAAAAAAAATAAAGACCTGGGAATGGGAGCTGGGGATGTGGTTCAAGCGGTAGTGTACTCGCCTGGCATGCGTGCGGCCCGGGTTCCATCCTCAGCACCACATACAAACAAAGATGTTGTGTCTGCCGAAAAAACTAAAAAATAAATATTAAAAAATTCTCTCTCTCTCTAAAAAAAAAAAAAAAAAAAAAAAAAATATATATATATATATATATATATATATATATATATATATATTTTCTGTGTAATTATCACTTTTATCACTTACTTTCTGTCTGGAAATTCTGCTGCATTTTTTTACACCAAAATCATTATTTTGACCAAGTTGTTTCCAAGAAACCCAAATACATCATTTAGATGCATTGAGTTCCTAGAAAGTGATCCTAGAATTATTTTTTATACTTTCCTTTGTGTTATATGTTCTTGTGTGTAGAGACATTGACAACAACCAGTAAGTGAACAGGTGACAACAGTAGGAAGAAAATGTTTTAAATTGTTGTGCAGCATCACATGAGTCCACTCCAGGGAACAGGAAGTTGATGAGGGGAAGGTGGAGGGTGTTCCCACCAGCGGGTCCTGTGCCCACCCCCTGGTGACTGTTCTCTGTGGTTGTCCAGTTGTCCGCATGGGCACTTAGGGAGTGCACAKGTGTTTGCATTATGAGCAAACACACATCCTATGAAAGGAATAAAGGCTTAGAATCCACAGTCAAAAGATTCAGACATGCAGAACAGCTGTCTAGAGTTCTAGCCCCAGGGCTACCTCCAGATCATCTCTTTTACAAATCTCTTTTGTAAAAAACTCCTCCACTTATAACTTGTTCACCTTTAAATAAATAAAAGAAAAAGAAAAAAACTGAATGTTGCTGGATACAGTGGCCATGCCTATATCCCATTGACTCGAGGCTGAGGCTGGAGAATTGCAAATTTAAGGCCAGCCTCAGCCACTTAGTGAGACCCTGTCTCAAAATAAAAAGTAAGCCAGGCACATGGCACACACCTGTAATCCCACCAGCTCAGGAGGCTGAGACAGGAGGATCATGAGTTCAAAATCAGCCTCAGCAAAAATCAAGGCTCTAAGCAATTCAGTGAGACCCTGTCTCTAAATAAAATACAAAAAGGGGGTGAGGCTAGGGATGTGGCTCAGTGGTCCAGTGCGTGCCCCTGAATTTAATCCCTGCTACCAAAAAAGGCAAAAGGACTGGGCATATAGCTCAGTGGTAAAGCAGCCTGGGTTCATTCCCCACTACCAATAGATACATAACTGTCCCTTCTCCCTGACAGATGTTTGCGCGGGTTCTTGGGAGGCCACTGGTGTGGGGAAAAGCACTCTGGTTTGGCAGAGCCACATAGTGTGAGGGGAGCCCACTTCTATTGMTTGCTTGCTCTGTGCCTGGGTCTAGTCACCTAACCTTCCTGATCTGTTTCCTCGTGTCGGGGTGATACAGCTTCTTGCCATGTGAGACAAGGGCTAGAGCCCTTTCAGAGTTACTGAGATTACCCAGCACCCTCAATAACTGAGCCACCAACATATAGCGCCATAGAGTACGGGCGAAGGGGTGAGGACAAAGGGGTGAGGACAGGTGCTTTGGGCAAGGTCTCTGGGAGGGTGTGACCCCCTCTCATCCTGTGGCTTCCTCCTCTCCAAGGCTGTGGTGAGGACTGAATGGAATGTCACCTGGCATGCACTCTACTTAGGAAATAACAACTGGCTTACTCCCAGCTCGCAGGCAGCTGGTCCCAGTCTCTCTTCTCTGTCTTTCAGTCTAATAAAGTCCCTGTTGTTCAGCACCCGCATCATATGCACCCGTTGACGCCCCTCATCACCTACAGCCGGGACCACTTCTCCCCTGGCTCCCCTCCCACGCACCTCTCCCCGGAGATTGATCCAAAGACAGGTGAGGTGTCGGCACACAAGTAGCGCTCTGATGGGCTTTTTCTTTGGGGACATTGTAGCTTCAAATGAGGCAGACCTTCATTCAATTGGTATCCCCAGTTTGCAGGAGTCTCATGACCCACTCGCTCCTTTAGCCTGCTCTGCTTTCTCCTGGGCTGACCTCGGGCCATCTTAGGACACAGGGCCTGGCCCCACAGTGAATATCTGGGTTGCTCTGTCAAAGTCCAGCCAGCTGCAGGCTCTGACTCCCTGAACCACAACCTGTGCCTAGTCTGGGAGCATTCAGGTAGAATCACCTGAACCAGTAAGGTGAGGCACAGGAAGGAGTCACCCAGGGAGCCACAGGCTCTATGACAGTCATGGCTCAAAGCAGGTTTGGATCCAACTTGGGAGAAATAATGATTCCTAAAGTTGTAGATAATGAGGGCAAATGTGGAATAGAAATCTAGAGTTTAGGGCTAGGGTGTGGCTACCTCAAGAAAAGCCTTGGGTCCAATCCCCAGCTCCACACACCCAAGCGAAAAAGAAATCCAAAGTTTATTTCTCTGGAAATGAGGCAGATTTTCTAAAAGTCAGTTAACTGATGACTCGGGATGTCGGGGCTTTCTGTCAGGACTTCCTGGTACCCTTAAAGATGCTGGTGGTGTCCATCCAGTGGGAAACTACTGCGACCCAGAGACTGGACCCAGGAGATACAGAGCAGATGAGTCAGCCCCAACTGGCTGGCCAAGGGGAGGGAGCAKCAGAGCGCAATGGGGCAGGAGGGGTGTTCCTGATGCTTTTTAAGCTGCCGGGGTGGGTGAGGCCAGTCTGACACATGGCTCTTGGGAAGCAGGAATCCCTCGGCCCCCTCACCCATCGGAGCTCTCACCGTATTACCCGCTGTCTCCTGGAGCTGTTGGACAAATCCCCCACCCCCTCGGCTGGCTCGTCCCACAGTAAGGAAAGCCGCGGCCTTCTTACCCTCATCCTCTCCACAGACCTCCTTGCTCCTGTCCTGTGCCTCCCCTAGCCCATCACCCCCGCATGAACTTTACCAAGAGCTGAGCAGATGTCCTTGTCCCTGGCCCCTGCAGGCAAGGACAGCCCATGTACTCCCTTCCTCCCGGTGGCTTTCGGCACCCGTACCCCGCCCTCGCCATGAACGCCTCCATGTCCAGGTGAGTCCTAGGCTGGGCCTTGAGCTCGAAGCGATGTCAGTGCCTCGCCTGAACAGGCCCAGCCTTCCCTTGTCAGCTGATGAGAAGGCATGAGGCCACCCCCAACTCCGCTCTTTCTTGGATAGCCTGCCTCGAGCTCCCTCTCCAGCCCCAGGAGGTGGAAGCCACAGGTTTATTGGCTCCCATCTCTCTGAGAATCTCACAGCCCCCTACCCTCCTGCCTTGAGATTCATTTTTCTTGAGATGATGTCAGGAGACCGTAAAAGGCAATTTCTGTCCCACTGGTCATTCTACCTGGCTACCTGGTAAATGGGTCCYCCAATGGTGCAGGGAGTACTACCCACACAGGAGGCTGTGCCCCTCCCTCTGCAACCCAGGGCGGAGCCTGCTCCTGYGCCCCACCTTCTGCACAACCCAGCCTGCTCCCAGGCCCCTGTCCTCCTRCAACCTGGGGCGGAGTCAGCCCCTTCTGCACTCTGCCCTTTGCAAAACCCAGGGCGGAGTCAGTTCCTCCTGCACCCTGCCCTCATCCCACACAATTTTTGCTTTTTGTTTGTTTTTAGTACCAGGGATTGAACCCAGGGATGCTTGAACACAGAGCCACATCCCAGTCCTTTKGGTTTTTTATTTTGAGACAATGTTTCTCTAAGTTGCTTAAGGGCCTCACCAGGTTGCTGAGGCTGGCTTTGAACTCACSATAGTCTCTGGGTTTACAGGCCTGCACCACCACACTGGGCAACTTCTTTGTTTTTCAACCCACCTGTGTCCAGCACCAGATTTGGCTGACCTGTGTGTTGGGACAGGGGAGTGTCATTAGGTGTTCCCAAATCTGATTTTTCCAGAAGACAACCAGTGCCCTTCCACTCTCCATCTCTGCCCAGCAGGGGTTGTTCATGCCCTGGGGAAGAAGCCACAGGTTGTCCAAGTGGCATGCTYACCTGTGTTCCTGTCTTTGCTTTCCCCGGGTGCACAGCCTGGTCTCCAGCCGGTTCTCCCCTCACATGGTGGCTCCCGCCCATCCTGGCCTGCCCACCTCAGGGATCCCCCACCCAGCCATCGTCTCCCCCATTGTGAAGCAGGAACCAGCAGCCCCCCGTCTGAGCCCCGCAGCCAGTGCGTAAGTGACAGCAGCCTGGGTGGGGAATGACATTTGTTTCCCTCCTGGTGTCACCCTGTCCAGTAACCCAGGGCCTCCCTTGGGACCATCCCCTTCATCATCTGTGTTCCCTTCCTTCAAGACCTCCTGCACCTCTTATCACATAAAGGAAAGTGGTGCAGACAGGTTCTGGAGGCTGAAAGAGGCCCCAGTGTGGTTTTTAGCTTCCCTTCCCCGCCCTCTTGTGCCCACATTTGTGAGGCTATGAGAGCAGACAGTACATTCAAGGACTCCTGGCAGCAGCAATGGCAGAACTGAGGAGCAGAGGCCCCTCCTTCCCAGGACTGGAAAGCCAGAGGGGTAGTGTGCTGGCAAGAGAGTCCCACTTCTGCCCAGAGGGTCCCACCTGGGAGGCAGCAGCTCTCCCCACCCTCTGTCCCTTTGCCAGGAGATCATCAGGTGGACTTGCAGAGAATTTGGTATTGGGGTTATTCGGAGGTTGGGAACTGTGGGAGGAAGATGTTCAGGGGCTGCAGCAGCCGTGGGTGACGGAAATTAGCATCCAAGCTGCTCTCTGTGCTGGCAGGGCTGGGGAGCCGGACCCAGGTAAGGGTGCTGACCTGCAGCTACCTGCCCCCCTAGGAAATCCCCAGTCACCGTGAAGAAGGAGGAGGAGAAGAAGCCCCATGTGAAGAAGCCTCTGAATGCCTTCATGCTGTACATGAAGGAGATGAGGGCCAAGGTGGTGGCTGAGTGTACCCTGAAGGAAAGCGCAGCCATCAACCAAATCCTGGGAAGAAAGGTAAGACCTACCCTGCCCTAGGCAGCCTGGGCCAGGCCCTGTGGGCTCGGATCACATCTCTGGCCCTCTCTCCTTCAGTGGCACAACCTATCTCGAGAAGAACAGGCCAAGTACTATGAGCTGGCACGGAAGGAACGGCATCTTCACTCCCAGCTCTACCCAACCTGGTCAGCCCGGGACAACTACGTGAGTGCCCTCACTGTGCAGGGAGACACTCAAACCCCAGGAGCAGCATCTGCAGGAGGCAGAGAGAAGAAAAGTGACTTTGCGTATTGAGGACTCTTAAGACAAGGGAGAAGGTCCCATTTCTCTAAAAATCAGAAAGCTGTTTTAATTGTCAGAAGGTCCACGAGATAGCCTGAGGACAAACTTAAGTTTGTGCCCTTCCCATTTGAACTGGACTCCACCTGTAATTTCTACCACTGGGCACAGTGCTGGCTCTGCASCAAGAGGGTCTCCAGACACGAGCTCCTCATACAGGTCTCAGAGACCCGTGTGTGGGCCTCAGAGAGGTCTGTATACTTCCTCAAGCTGGACAGACTTTTGTATGTACGTTCCTTTTGGCTTTTTTTGTGGTAAGAGGATTCATAGCTACGTCAGATTTTCAGAGGCAACTGGGACCCTTCTAAAGAGATTGAGGACCACTGTTCTAGGAACAGAGATGGAAAAACCACCTCGAGGAGCAGGGGTCAAGGCCTTCCAAGAATGATGGGTGCTCCCCTGAGTGGGAAGGAGGGCATCTCCCCTCCCCCCATACGGCTTCCCTGACCTGCACTCCCCTGCCAGGCTGCTCTTATTCTGTCCTGACTCAGCTCTTCTTCTGCCATATTTTTCAGGGTAAGAAAAAGAAGAGGAAGAGAGAAAAGCAGCTGTCTCAGGCACAGTCGCAGCAGCAAGTGCAGGAGGCAGACGGTGAGTCCTGGGACTTTGTCTCTTCAAAGCCCAGGCACTTTTCAGGTCAGCTGAGTGGCATCTTGGGGGCGAGGTTCTAGGGTTGGTGCAGAAGGCAAAAATGAACGTGGTTGAAATCACCCCGGAAATGCCCTCGGGAAGACAGCACGGCACAGACTGCCACGCCACTCATCAGCAGACCCAGTAGATCTGGGCTGCCTCCCACGTTTCTCTGGCTGCACACCAGAAGAAACAGTTTGGTTTCAGAGCCACTTAGAGATTTTTAACCCAAAATATCACCTAGCACAGAGAAGCTTCCCCTATGAAAGTATTTAGCCACACTCCTCTCGTGTTCCTGCCAGTACAAGCGTACAATGGCTTTCAACATCCACAGTGCTTTGGTCAGCCCACACACATCCTCCTGTACACTTTATATCGTCTCTAGGTGACCTGGGACACCCAGCAAGTCCACTGCCCTGTAAATGCTGCACTGTTCAGGGAGCAGGGCAGAGGAGAAGGGTCTACAGAGGAGAAGGGTCTACATGCTAGGTGCGGTGCAGAACTTTCCTGAGTATTTCCTGTGCACCGTTGGTTGAGCCCACAAATGCGGAGCCCGGGGAACCAGAGGGCCAGCTGCACATAGCTGGCTGGCACCTCAGCCTCTACCCACCCAGRCCACTGCTGCTCACGCTCTCACCTTTCTTCCTAGGTGCTCTGGTCTCCAAGAGTAAGAAGCCATGCATCCAGTACCTGCCTCCTGAGAAGCCCTGCGACAGCCCTGCCTCTTCCCACGGCAGCATGCTGGACTCCCCTGCAACCCCCTCCGCAGCCTTGGCCTCACCAGCTGCCCCTGCGGCCACCCACTCAGAGCAGGCCCAGCCCCTCTCCCTCACCACCAAGCCTGAGACCCGGGCCCAGCTGSCTCTCCATTCGGCAGCCTTCCTTTCTGCGAAGGCTGCAGCCAGCTCCTCTGGCCAGATGGGCAGCCAGCCGCCCCTCTTGTCCCGGCCCCTGCCCCTGGGGTCCATGCCTGCGGCTCTGCTGACCTCTCCCCCATCCTTCCCTGCCACACTCCACGCCCACCAGGCCCTCCCTGTGCTACAGGCCCAGCCTCTCTCCTTGGTCACTAAGTCTGCCCACTAAGCTTTCCTGTGACTCATCAAGGAGAAACAACTCAAAAGAAAAACAAGGAAACTTTATTGGTCAATATTTGACCACTCTGGACTGTTCAGTAGAGTGACTGGTACCAACAGCACTTTACGTTTTATAGGTGTAACCAGTAGCCGACCTTCAGGCTTTTTTAAAAAACAAACAAAACAAAACAAAACTTCACAAGAAAGAACACCTTAGTAGTGTTGCTCTCCTGTGCTGCGGTGGGTGCACYGGGCAGAAGTTGCCCTCCACTGCCTCTTCCTGCTCCTCGCTGTCCACACTCTCCTCACCTCCTCACCTCCGTATCCGGACATCCCCATGGTTGCCAGTGCCCCGAGGGCTCGCCCAGGGCCTCCATCTCGACCATCCTGCCTCTCCCGTTGCCCAGCCCATGATCTCGTCACAAGCTCAGCCTGCAGTCGCTCTCCCATCCTCTACCACGGCTGGGACCATGTGCCATCACAAGCTCAGCCTGCAGTTGCATTCTCTAGTAGGGCTGGGACCATGTGCCAAGACACCTGGGCCTGATCTGTTTGCATCAGCACCCCTGCTCCCGCCCCCGGGGCTTGGCACTGCAGAGCCCCTACCACCCCCACAGCCAGGGGAAGGAGTTCCACTGAGACGTCCCCACCCCTGCACTGAAAGGGACTCCAGGTGCTTGCCACTTCCCAGGAAGAGGTCCCTGTCCGTTGTCCCCCCCACCCCTTGGCCCAGCTGCTGTCACCTGGGCTCTCRCCAGCACAATCTGCCAAAGCCAGAAGACCCTCTGCCTTCCCCGTCACCTCACGTGCTTTCTCTGTGTGTATTTCATTTTGTTTTTATGGGTTTTGGAGCAATTTAAACTCCCTGTTGTTTATTTTCACAAAAGAAAATAAAATTGCAGTTGTAATACCTTCTGAGTGTCCCTCTTCCTTCCATGGAATGGAGCCTCCATCAAACCAGGCTATGTCCACACATCCCTGTGGAACAGAATCAATCCTAACGTGATTGGAACACCAACCTGCCTCCAGTCCCAAATGTACATGGGCCAAGCTGTGGTGTCATGGATATTGACTGGGCTCTACCAGTTCACAGTGGACCTCGACCTGTCTACCACCAGGAGGACTTCTGCCTGTGCTTCTGCAGTTCCCAGTGTGCTTGCTTCCCAGGGTATCACTGTGGCTAATATTTGGGGGAATRGCTTTATTGAGATTAAATCTATTCAAAGTTACAATTCACCAATTTAACACAGTGAACAGGGCTGGGGTGGAGCTCAGGGCAGAGCACTTACCTAGAATGTGAGACACCCTGAGTTCCATCCCCAGAATCACAAGAAAAAAAATTGGACAATTTTAATGTTTTTTAGTATGTTGAGTATGGAGTATTTTAGAACATTTTTCAATTTCAGAACATTTTAATCACCCCAAAAAGAAACTCTGTACCCTTTAAAAGTCCCCCCCCCCCACGTCGTGCTTTAGGCTAATTTGTCCTGAGGTATCTCTCCAGAGAGTGGCTGTGAACTCTGGCCCTGTGCTGAGGGAGCTCAGGCGCGTGGCATGGGTGTGTGCAGTGTCTTTCACAGGACACTTTGCCCTTCAGGTGGCCTGATGCCTAAAGTGTCCACCAGTGACCAAGTGGCCCTCTTACAGGAATTGGGTTTATACTGGCAGACACCCCTGTGGCTCTGGTCTGGCCTGTGCCCAGTTTATCTCCACAGCGATAGCCAATCTCCAGTAGAGCCCCTACCCTAAAAGAAGTTAGTTCTGGTAGGATGGAGAAGGAGACAAGACAATCCATTCCAGAAGCAGTGTGTCCCTCACAGACCAGAGAAAAGACAGCAGCAGGGCCCATGGGAAAGGGTCAGCCTCTGGGACTACTTGAGTGAGGAGCAAGACAGAAGTTGTGGGGCCGTGAGCTGTCACAAGCTGTCCCCTACGGYCCAGCATGTTGCCTACATGTGTCTCCTGTGGCCAGTTCTGGCAGTGGGGCTGAGAACAGGAAGGAGCTTGGAGCTATGACTGACTGAGGTGGTCACTCAGGTGTCTGGGCAGCACCTGGGAGCATGGTGTGRGGTCAGAGCAGGTTGAGTAAGCTGGATACACTTCTGAATCACTCCATTGTGCTATGAATGAACTATTGTCCTAATTGCTATCATGCCCAGAACAGACTGACCAATCAGACTCCRGTCTGTTGAACTATCTGTATTACCTGAACTTGAGTTTATTTGATTTTGTCCTATAAGGAAATGGTTACCAGGAAGCTGTTGCATAGGGCAGATTTCAGGATGGGTCACATTGAGGATGTGGGGGCAGGTGGAGAACTAGAAACTGTGAAGGGTGACTAAGCCCTGCTTCTAGAAGGAAGAAATAAAATTTGCTCCAAACAGGTGYAGAGGCCACATAAAACTAAAAATTCACTGCATGTGTACACAAAAGTGGTGCTGGGGATTAGAACCCAGGACCTTGAGCATGCAAGGCAAGCACTCTACCAACTGAGCTATGCCCCCAGCCCTGCACATATATTTTTGATGGTGTCCCAGCCTCATTTCCTGTCATTTTCCTTGCTGCTGTTTGACGAGCCTGGTCTTTAGACTTCCACAGAATACCAGGTTCTCACCCAACTGCAGGCCATTGTATGAGCTGTAACACCTGTCTTCCCTTCAGCCTCACCTGGGACCCAACTACAAACTGCAATCCTCAGCTCCAAGATTCCCCTCCTTAATGGATCCCCACTTCAAACTCTTTCCTTTCTGGTACTGCTTGGAATGCACACATGTGCATATTTTTATTTATTCATGTGGTTCACTAGATTACACACTCCATTATCTTGCCCAACTCCTGGGGCTGAAGCCATCCTCCTGCCTTAGTCTTCTGAGTAGTGGGACCACAGGTGCATGGCAGACACCAACTTCTGGGAAAACCTATTTTTAGCAGTGCTGAGGATCCAACCCAGTACCTTTACAATACTAGAAAARGCTTCATCACTGAGCCATACCCCCATCTCAAACCTATCGTTTTTTAAATCGCTGTGTAAAAGCACCTAGCCTTGGCAAACGTTCATAAAATGATTTCAAGTCACACAATGTTTAAACATAACAGAAAATATATATAAATAAGTACAAAACTATTCAATGATTCCAACTTGGGGAGGAAATCTATATGCATAGAAAAAAGTCAGAGAAAACACACCAAGCAAGAAAGAGAAAATAACTACAAATAGTAACCAGTAGATTAGTAGAGAGCTAGAATTTTCTAATGTATATTTCTTTGAAAATCCTGTTTTGATTTTTGAGTRATTTTTTATTTGATTTTGAGCCATGTTTGTAGAGCATAAAACCCTCAAAACACTAAGAACGACYATCGCAGAGGGGAAAACTAAGACTTTCTTTTTACTAGACTTATGAGATCAGAAAAGGATGCGCTTTTTAAAAAGATCCTGGGCGGCCTCGGACTCCAAGCAGCTGTGAGAGGCGGCGGCCTGCGGTCTTGAACCCCAGACCAAGACCGTCGTCGGAAAATACTCCCAGCCCAGGCCCACCCAGCACAAGCCGGGAGGGGGAGAAAGGGACTGGAAGGGGCGGGGCCGAGGAGGGCCGCGGGAGGGGCGGGCCTCCTGGAAAGGACCGAGTCAAGCCAAGGAGGCGGGGCCAAGGAGGGCCGTGGGAGGGGCAGACCTCACGGAAAGGGCGGGGCCTCACGACGCAGGGAGGCACGCATAGGAAGAGGCGTGGCTACGAGTTCGGAGCTYGGAGCGCCGCTCTCGCGAGAGCAGTAGAAGACGGAAGCGCAATCTGTTCAGGATGTGGTTCCTGGTTGCGTGTCTCTTGCTAAATGTCGCTGCGGGTGAGACCCCTGCCCATCCCATCGTCGCCCCAAGCTCCCTACCTGTACCTCGGCCAGTGGCCGCCTGGGCTCGCTCCTCACCTGCCCGCCCTACCCCTCCGCTCGCCGCCGCGCCCCCTGCGGCGGTCGCCCGGTCTCAGGCGGCTCTGAGCCCCTTTTCTCCCGCCTGCTGTCTCCTGGGCTTACCGGTTTTCTGTTTCAGGCTCCGCGTCGCTTGACCCACGTCCCAACCCCGAAGGTTCGGATAGGCTGATCCCGGTCCCGACCCGAGGAACTCCAGACCGGCCTTCTGCAGGAAAGGAGGGCAACAAAACCCCGGAGACCCAGCCGCCCCCTCCGAACCGGCCTACCACCCTAGGCGGGGCCAGAGGATCGGAACAGGGGCAGTCCTCCCAGAAAGGAGGCGCCAGCGAGTCGGAACTGAATCTGGAGCCCCCAAAAGGAAGCGCCATAGGATCGGAACAGGGTCAGGTCTCCCAGAAAGCAGGTGCCAACGGGTCGGAACCTGGACAGGAGCCCCCGAAAGGAGGCCCCAGCGGGTCGGAACCGGGCCAGGAACCCCTGAAAGCAGGCGCCAATGGGTCGGAACCCGGCCTGGGGCCCCCGAAAGGAGGCTCCAGTCCCCCTTCAGATAACCAGGAGACACCCAAGACTGATAAAACCCAGGAGCCTGGAAAAGAGCATACCTCTCTGCAAACTTCCAAAACTAAAGCTGGGGAGAGWGTGACGATGGACTCGGACCTCTCTTCTCCCCAGCAGGAGGGAGAAGATGAGTCCGTAGAGCCTGCTGAAGAAGGTGATACAGGRCCTGAAGAGGGCTCACCAACTGGAGAGGAGAAAAAGATGTCCGGCCCTGCCTCCAGTGAGAACCATGAAGGGTCACTTTTGGATTCCATGAATAGTGACAAGAATGACCTTTATAAGGACAGTCCTGGAGGTGCCAGCGCAGAGAGCAGCCACTTCTTTGCGTATTTGGTCACTGCGGCCATTCTCGTCGCAGTCCTCTATATTGCCTATCACAATAAGCGGAAGGTAAGCCAGGTGCTGCCTCAGAGAGGGGACTTGCTGGTGCAGGGCAGGTATCCATGGCTATCTGCATATGAGTACTGGGGATTTTAAGACAAACTGCCACTCTTCCTCAGACCCTGCCAGGATTCCTTATTCTTGTTTTATAAACCATGTGACCTGTTTCCCCTGAGTCTTGCTGCATTAGGTGCCAACTTAGGACAAGATTATAACATGAGCTAAAGTGAGACCTCCTCCCATGACCTTGACTTTAGATGCTTGACAGCCTCAGGGGACCCAAGTATTTGAGGCAGAGCTCTTTTCCTTTTTCCATGACTGAGACAATGTATTATTTCTAGTTTCCTTTCCCAGCCTGTCTTCCATCTATGGTGGCTGGAAGAATAGATTCAGCTACACTCTGATATSAATAGCGAAGACTCTTTTGCAGGGATAATCAGAAGAAATTTWAAAAATTACAGATAAACACATTTTTTTATTTCTTCAGTAGCATTTAGTGTGAAGTGGTACCCATGTCCCTTAAAACAATCCTGTTGAACCCTGAGAATTTAGAAGGTAGTTTCAATAGTTTCAGTAAGCTGGTTCAAATTGGAAAATTCATTTCATGGGCTGGGGCTGTAGCTCAGCGGCAGAGCACTTGCCTAGCAAGTGTCCTGGGTTCAATCCTCAGCACCACATAAAAATAAAGGTATTCTGTCCATCTACAACTACAAAAAAAATTTTTTTAAAAAAGAAAAAGAAAATTCAGTTCATGATGGCCATCAAGTCTATGGCATGGCATTAAAATGAGAGAAAACCATTAGTAAAAATATATACATTCCTGGAGCTGGGACTGGGGCTGTAGCTCAGTGGCACAGTGCTTGCCTAGCATTCATGAGGCACTGGTTTCGATCCTCAGCACCACATAAAAATAAACAAAGGCATTCTGTTCACTAAGAACTACAAAAAATTTTTTTTTAAATATACGTTTCTTATTCTTCATCTAAGTGTTCATAATGAGAGTGTTAGTGAAGTTAAGATTGTGATTGTTGAAGAAACAAAATGTGG